AGTTCAAACTGATTTTCCAGGAGTTACTCCAATAAGCAAGATGAATCAAGCCATATGTCTAGAACTGCTCACAATATCAGAGTGATCTTGGTACCTTTGTTGTGTTTTTATGATACAATGACAATAAAAGGTATTCTGATTCTGGAAAATGTACCTTAAAAACCCAAGGATCCGAACATGTGCTTAGTTAAGTTTGATCACATATGACCTATTCCCTAATTTAATGTGATGGGTCTTATATTGCACATCATTTGACCTAACAAAGTACACAACAGTTACAGATAAAACACCATGTATACACTGTTGCTATTCTTAAAGCACCACATAAACTCAAACATCACAATATGTACATGGCCACAATATGACATAGCAAAAATTGTTGTGTTTATGTGGTACATACACCAAGAATGCAAAAGAATATAACACTGCAATGCTGTTTTACTGAGATGAATAAACAGACAAGCCAATGCAAAAGCCGATGGTTCCTAAAAGTGCCACAAGTACACACAAAACTGTCAGTGCAGATTGTTTGCATAGCATTTGATTGTGTAACATATTTTTTTTGTAAATGCCAATAGATCTGTAGTAATACAGTGTTACTGGAGGTAGCACTGTGTGTGCAAGACTATCAGATACACAAACAAGTCATGTTATTTTCCTACAACCACATCATCCATCGAATAAATGAGCTATGGCCTTTGCTGACTCTTCCTGGCCTCAGAATCAGATTAATGTCTCATTTGGTTTAGTGAAATGTATCTCCCCAAGTTTGTTTTAAACTGAAATTCGGTCAGCTTCAGGAAGTTCAAACCAGTTAGTGTTAGTATTGGTTTAAAGTACTGTCCTACTGAGAGTCAACTGGTGCACCATTTTGCAGGTTACTCAGTGGTTTCTCTTCATTTTTATTGCTCTGGTTTGTTCAAAGTATTTCTTAGTACTTAATGTATATTTTAAGGATTACTCTCAGCTACTACTACACCTACCAATACCTGTATAATTTACCTTGTTAGAGCCGTTGTAGCCATTAGTTTTAGCTTGAAGTGGTATCATCTGGGATAATCCAGAGGCTGGTTTTCATAGCTTTGATAAAGTTGTTTAACTTTAGTTTCTGCATCCTATGTCATCGCCCAGAATTGCACCTTACACCCATAAAGAAAATGCAGCTTTTTGCAGGTGCATATTCATTCATTTCTGGTTCAATCTTTTAAAATACTTTGACTAGTTTGTGGAAAGAAGAAGCCTATATGGCTTGATTCCCATTTTATTTCTATAAAATAGTCTATGAAAATGTTGAATATTATATTTTGTCCTAATCTGAGGAGCAAGAAGCCCATTTGGAATAAAAAAAAAATATATATATACATTTAAAAGTATCTATTAACTTTTTAAACCTATAATTTAGCTTACCCAAGTTGCTTGGTCTGCATTAGTTTCATAAAGGTGTAAAGCTATCTGGGGAAATTCCTTTAAAAGTTTTATAATTAGGTGTAGATATAATATTGTGCCCTAGTGTGAGCTCAGCTTAGGGAGACATACATGCATTAACTGTCTAAATACTAAAGGATAGATGGTTGACTGGGTTCTTTCCAAGAAGATTGTAAAGCTTAGAAGAAGCACTAGACCCTTTAACATCTTCGCAAAACTTTGTCCAAGAAAGTCTCTTACACTTCCTTAGAACATCGGTATAATGATTGCAGGACTGTACATATTGTTCCCACCTGGTTTTGCTTGGTTGGGATGTGTATCTGCACTTTTTACCTCTTACTGCCCTGCAGAGGTCAGATGACTTTCAAGTCCACAAGGCTGACTGCTTTGACAGTCTCCAGACGGGCAGACTTGCACAGCAACAGCCATGCATGTGACTTCAGTCTCAAAGTCTTGCACAGTTTTAATCCTGGTTATTCTCCCACTCATCAACTGGGATAGTATGCTGATAAACAGATTCCAGTCAGTATTTTGTGGGTTTCTGTAAGTCATGGGCATGGTTTCCCCATCCTCAGCTTAAACTGAATTTGCAGATGGTCTGACAGGACACCTTCCAGTCACATACTTTTTTTTTTACCAAGTCCATAGACCTGACTGTTATATCAATGACCTCTTCCCTTTTAGCAGTATGGAAGGTAGGTACGTTTCCTTGAGTACAGACAAGCAGGTCTTCTGCCAGCAATTTTTTAACAGAGATTTAGGATTAATATCAGAGCTCCCCAGCACGTTATTGGAGTTGGCATCACGACCGATGAGTACCAGGAGGCCCCTAGCTTAAGCATAATTGACTATCACTATAAACTCCTGTGATGGAGGGGGGTGCTGTGAATCAAACGGAAAATAAATAGAGGCTAATCTCCCAAACCCAACAGAAGAAGACTGGAGTAGAGCTGCAAACAGTATCACTAAAGGCAAATTAAAATGGGCAATTAATATGTTGGACCCATTTAAAGCTTGTGGTCCATATGATATCTTCCTAGTTCTCCTACAAAGGGGGACTAAAATTGCTTTTGGACACAATAACTAGAATATAAGTTTCCTGATGCATGCTCAATAATCCAGGTAGAAAAATCCAAAAAAGTTCAATCTGGTCCTCTGGACATTCAAAAAAACAAAACTAAACAAAAAAATGTAGAAACGTTTTGTCTCTCATCTGAGAGACTTCCTCAGTCTGAGATGCTGTATTCAGCTCAGTCTCTTAAATAGCACCTTCTCAGAGTGGATCAACCAGTTTGCTGCTGACAACCAAAACCAGCTGCTCACATGGTCAAGAAGGACCATCACCATTGATGGTGATGATGCTTGTGGCATTTAACTAGAGACATATTTGCACTATTTAGGCTATTGGCTGGCTTTGGGCTGTCAAAGAGAAATAATTCTTGGGGAACCATTCAGCGATCTCGAGAAGCTTAGACCTCTGAGTGTTTCAGACCTTGTGTCCTTCATTTGATGGACATGAAGGCTTGAATAAAGCTCACTGTGTTTTGGGGGAGAGCAATGGGCCCACCTACGAGGCCCCTGCTCATATGGATTCTCCGTCCATCTCCACTTACCAATACCAATGAACTCTCTGAAATATTTCAGCAATTAGTGAAAAATTTAGGTCAAACAGGTAATTTTTTACAGAACAGATATTTGTTTTGTGCAATAAATCTTGTATTCCCTCGTGTCCAGTGTGTAGATTTTGGAATTTTCTTTATTTATTCATTAATGTATGTCATTTGCTTCATTTAAAGTGGAATGGCTTTTTCCCCCCTTCATTTTGGCAGTTAAAAGCTGGAGAAACGGCTGCAGTCATTGCCAGAGAGTTGGCAGAGCAAACCAAGAGTAACCTTCAGGCAGGTGACATCACCTACACTGTGAAGGCAATGATACAGTTGGTGGATCTGCTGGATGTGCAGCTGAGGAACCTCACACCAGGTGGAAAGGACAGCGCAGCTCGGAGCCTCAACAAGGTACTGAAAGAACTGGTTTTATAGAAAATATCACAACAGCCATGCTGGAGGTGCTACAGCTTGCTACTGCTGCTATTCAGACTTGCAACAATTGTACAGTTCTGTGTAAATAGCATAGAATGTAAAATTACCAACAGTGTACAGGTAAAAAAAAACTGTTCACTTAAGTCTAACCATTACCCCATCATTTTGGTTAGAACTAAATGCTAATTCTCTGAACCGAGATTGCTCAGTGAGCTGTCTGTAACAGGTAAGATATTAGTTCATCCTCAGTGCAGTTTATAATGTGGCAACCATATGTCAAATTTGTCAAAAACTCTACAAAGGCACTCCAATAAAGTGAGCTGAAATAATCATGTTGTCTTATCAGCCAACGTCAGTGAACTGGAGTGACTTATTTCTGTGCTCCGCTGTGAACAGTGAAACTCAAAATGTCTGTCGTTAATTTACCTGAGTGGCTTCACTTGTAGGCACACACCAACACCTGTTTTCAGATGGTACTTTTATTTATTTTTTATGATTTTTTGGGGTGGGTGGTAGCGTGACATTTTTAATTTTGTTTTTACAGCAGACCCAGATGTCCCCATAGAAATTTTAATGCCAGTTTTCTCCAAATGAGAGGAAAGGTTGTAAAAATGCCTCCAACGGCCTCGGAACAAAAGTGTGATGAGTAAATTTACATTCAGAAGCCAGAGGAGTTTATAACACCTCTTGAAAGAAAGGTTTCTCATTAAATATGGCTATTCTAGTCTTTAGTTACTCTTATAAAGTTTAGGAAATGGTACAAAAAAAAGTAGCTGTATAGAGTTAATAAAAAAAAAGCTTTTACAGCTAGAATAATTTATTTATGAGTTCAGAAGCAACTCTGTGATAAATTATTTGTAGCTTACAGATATACAGTCCATTTTTGCAGTATATAGTTAATCTGTGAAGGATTTATTTATTTATTTTCCCTTGTTGAGAACTTCTGTAACCAGTGAATGCTCTACGCACAAATGTACTAGTCACTGTGTTCATCGCTCTGGCCGTCACTGGTGTTTACCTCTCAAGTTCAATCATTTTGACACAATCTGCAAAGAGCTAAACAAACTAAATATATTTTTTCTTTCCTCTGGCCATCGAATCACCGTGAACTCTGCCAGCAAACAATGAAAGGATTGAGTTGGCAAACATTGAGATCACTGTCGTTTTCATGATCAAAGTGTTCCCGGCTAACGGTAAAGACGGGAGAGTTTCCAGAGGAGTAGGCTGTGATGGAGTCTCTTTTTGTAGGAAGTGGTTGATTTGATTGGGTTTCAGGTACCAAACCCACACAGAGACTCTGGTACACTGACTTTAACTGACCTTATCCAGAAGTATTT